TGCAAAATTTCTGCTCCAATAAATATAAAAGAGAAAAATAATTGAATTAATCAAATTAATCCTTCAATTTTATCCAAATTTTAAATCTGAATTGAAAGTATAATTTTAATAATTTAATTTATGTCTAAATGAGTGCATTATCTCTGTACAGTCAATCATCCATTGTACAGATTTCAATGTTCCATAATATTACACTTTTCATGAGATGATGTAAAGTTAAATGAAAAATTAAAATCGAACTATCATGTGCTAGGAAGGTCTGCTTGGTGACACACATTTTGCTTCGTTCATTCATTTTTGAAACGGGACATTGGAGAATTTTTGCGTTTAAGCAATTTTCTGTCGGATCATTCAAATGTGCCATGCAACTGTAGCAATAATTTTCATTTCTCTCCTAAAAATTTTAAAAATTTTTCATAAAAACATTATCAAATTTTAAAATTTCATTCATATTGCTCATCTAAAATTTTGTTATAATTTATGAATTTTTTTTCACTTTCCATTTTTTTTCAATCTTATTTTTTCGGATTCTATCAATTTTTCCATTTCGTTTAAAGTTTTTACTTTTCTTTTTCTTTTTTTTTTTGGAAGTAATCTGAAAATTTTAAAATGAATGGAAATAAAATTATAATCAAGTTAAGTATAACTTACAATATTTTGTCGTTCACTTTCCAGAAACGTTGTAATTTGCTGTGGTGCTGTAAATTTTTCAGTAGTTTTATTCATTCTTTCACTGAAATTTGCATATGGAATAGAAATACAATTGATTTGTTGTTTTTAAATGAATTCTGATACAAATAGCAGTAAATAAATTAATTAACCTATGTTTATTTCGTCTCACTGAAATATTCGGTACAATATTACCAGCAAACATTATCGAGTCATAACTTTGCCTTGAAGGAAAATTTGATATATGATGAGATAATCCTGAAGCTTTTTATAATATTTAAAAATTTTCAATTGAATTTTCAAAAGCTTATTCTTAAATTCATTTAATTTTTCAAATTACTTCAATAATAATTTTGAACAATAAATTAAACAATTTTTCGGCAATAACCTTGTCATCCTAACATCAGGCACGTAGCGTTATCAATGTTTTATTACACCTTTCACTTACGTTTCATCTATCATTCACTTACGTGGGATGCCATGTATTTGATGTGATGTGGAACGACTATTTACATATTCCGAATTATTCTCTCCAATATTATTATCATTGGATGATTCATAAGATCGTACAGATTTCAATGTTCCATAATTGATATTTGTTTCCTTCTGAAAACGTAGCGAACAAATAATTTGATAAAGCAAAATTAATTGAAATATCCTTTTTTGCTGGTAGCATTAATTATTATCAAATATCATGCTATACTTGATGAGTATTTCCAATTGATTGATAATTTAATTGTGCGGGATATGAATGTAATGATATCGGAAATCGTTCATCTTTCTTATCATTGATAATCGCATCAACACTTGTAGTAACAAAAATTTCCGGATGATTCTGAAAATATTTTTGAAACTTTTATAAATGCTTGATTGGTTGTAACTTAAAATTAATTTTTTAAAAATTAAGCATTAATTTTGATTTAATTTAAATAAAATGACACTTATCAAATATGTTCCTACTTTTTATGCTTGAAAAAAAAGAAAGAAACAAGTGAAAAATTTTCTGATAAATATTAAATATTTTGTTTCTTTTTTTATTTTTACAAAACTTAATTTTTATTCACTTCTTCAAAATCAATGAATTGATCGATAATATTTTTCATGTTGCAAAAATTTCTCCGGCATAAGCAATATGCTAATTCATCACCATCCATTTCGATTAAATCACATTGCTCATCAAATGAATATTGCCTTGGTGGAAATATTCGATAATGATCTTCTTCACCAATACATTCTTTCATGAGCGTATAAGAACCTGACAAGTTAATAATGATTAAATGATAATTTGACAGGGATTAATTTGTAAAGTTTATCAATTTGTTGATATGATGCAATAGCTGAACTTATATAATCTTGCACATTTAATAAGTTATGATTAAGTGATAATTTGATAGCGATTACTTCGTAGAATTTACCAATTTATTGTTGACATAATTCAATAACTGAATTTATATAATCTTACGTATTAGAGTATTATTCGATAATTTAAGATAGATCAAATTATTCCCTATCTCATTAGTTATTTATTAATTATATATTGAACAATTGGTATTAACATTTACTACAATCATTTTTTTTTTTTTTTTTTGTTCAGTAAACCTTCAATTTTTATAATCGATTATGCAAAATGTTTTAAAAGATAAAATTATAGCTGGAAATTTCTACCATTGTTTGCTCGTTTTCGCATTGTTCGACAAAAAATTAGTTCGTTAGGTTTAAAATTTTTCGCATAATTGGTGCAATCATATTGGAATTGCATACGACATTCATCGCCTTCATTTAAATTTTCATCACCACAAATATAACATTGTAGGCTTGCAGAATCTAAATGCTTATTTATAAATGTTTGATATTTCATAGAACTGTTTTAAACTTTCATCTTTTTTTACAAAATATATTTCCCATTTAAAATGATTAAAAAGAAAAAAAAAGTCCAAAAAAGAAGATATGAATAAAAATGTATTTATCCAATGCATATATTATTATATCAGTTAAATTTTTATGCTACGTTTTCTTGTTTACTTTTCATTGTTTACTTTTCCTTGCTTTTTTTTACACTTTATAGAAAAGCGTTTAATTCGTAATTTAAAATAGCAAAAATGAATAAACAATCCTTTGAAAAATGTTAAGCCAAAAATAGAGATGAAAAGTGCGCCAATGTTTCCCGTAATCATTCCTTCGATAAATTTCTCAATTTTATATAGCTAAAAATATAACAATAATATTAATGATTGAATGAAATAAATAAATTGAATAAATTGAATGAAATCATTTTCTAAAATGAATACATATATGCATAAGACTGACATATTACTAGAAAAAAAAAAAACGAAAAATAGAATTAAATGTTCTGCCTAATTTTCTTTTAAATATTATTTAAAGCAACAAAATTAAACTAACAAAAATATTAAGTATAAATTTACTCGTTTTATTTGATATTCAAATTTTCACGGTGCATTAATATATAGTAAAATGGTTTCATTGAAATGAATTTCTATCAGTTAAAAAGAAAAATAAAAGTGTAGGGAATTGAAAGGAATTGAGATAAATGGAAAAAAATTTTGCCAGCCAAACAGAACATTCATTTTGCCATTTCATTTGAAAATCTGATCAAAAGATGAATTTTTGAAGTAAATGGTTAATAGGCCACTGAGCGCAGTATATAAATAAACATTTATTTATTCATTTCAACGATAGGACAGGTAACCCTAAAATATCCGCCCGACTAATCCGGCACGACCAGCAGTATTTTTGACCTCAATTCTCACCGTGGAAGAACCAATAATGGTTTGAACAAATTCACAAAAATGATATTTTCCCACAAAAAAAAAAAT